TTGCCTCGGATCCCTCTGTAGCCCTGCGGGAGTCACACACACATACATCATCAACATGTAAATATGCACCGTCCTCTAAACAGTGTGAAAAATCACTATCAACAAACGGCGTTCAGGAGTTTGTGTGTTTAACCTTTAGTCCTCTGAGCCCCGAGCAGCCCTGAACACCCTGAGGTCCACTCGGTCCAGAACCGCCTCGCTCCCCCTGAAACACACACACAGAGCGAGCTGAGATGCAGCTTCCACACACACACACACACAGATGTTCAGGCTGTATCGTTTCTCTGTCACTTCATGCAAGTCCAAGTCTCTGTCCCAAGTCTCTGAGGGGTTAGTTCAAATGACGTCTCCTGGGAGCTTAACAGAAATAGTCAAATAAACATTTTCCGGAGTAAAGACCTTCATGAAGTAAAGCTAGTCCTGACTGTTGGAGCAGCTGAGAGCTCCTCAGGCTCTTCCTGATGTCCTTCACATCGTCCTCAAAAGTAAAGTTACAGAGAGCGTCAAGTTGAACGTAGAAAACCAACACACTGTTCCTGCAGCAGATGTTTATGTATTCACGAAAAAGGAAGTTCCTACGGATTTATCAAGCACATCAAACTTTATATAAACGTCAGTCAGGAACAACATGTCATCAGCAAGTCGAATATGAAGAAGCACTTACAGCCACGCCCTCGTCTCCTGGGAAACCGGGGAAGCCTTTTTGTCCAGACACACCCTGAAGATTTAAACAGGTAAAAAAAGAAGTATTAAAATAACACTCAAACTGCGTGAAGCTAACAGTACGTTTTACCTCTCTCATACATGTGTAATTGTATTCATGTGAAGAAAAAAAAATGCTCTGTGACTTAGTCACAAAATGTGTTGTTATTATCTGTTCCCAAAGTGCAAAGTCTTGAAAAGGGGAAAAAGGATTTTCAGGTACGCTGCTCCTGCAGGATGATCTGTGTCAGGTCCCTTTCAAGGTCACATTCTGAGTCTGCCTTCTCACCGTAAACAATAGGACATGGAGCGAGAAAGCACCGAGTACACCCAAGTCCTTCCAGAGAGGGGGTGTGGTCAAACACAGCTCATTTACATATTTAAAGCTACAGACACAGAAACAGCCTGTTCTGAGCAGGGCTGAAACATTCTGTTATGAAAATGTTACGGTATGTTATGAGATCTTCTGTCCCTTTAAGGTGACTAACTTCCTTTCTGCTCATGAAAGGTTTGATTGGTGCATTAACTGATGGAGGAGGAGCCTTCAGAATAAGAGCCTCTCCATGTGTTTCCAATACACATCACATTGACCTTGGAATGCGTGAAAACGAACGACTTCTCCTTTAGAAGCAGGTCCGCTGTTAACTCTATGAGATCACTGCATGTGTCTGCTTGTTCTCAAGCTGACACGTCTTCTCTAAACGACCTTGACATCATGTTTTAAAGTTTAAAAGGTGTGTGTGTTTCAGTCACCTTTGACCCCGGGAGGCCCCGAGAGCCTCGGATGCCTTCGTGCCCCGAACATTTGCACATGACGTTGCAGCACTCTCTGTCAGACACCGAGTCCTGCAGAGAGAGAGAGAGAGAGAGAGAGAGAGAGAGAGAGAGAGAGAGAGAGAGAGAGAGAGAGAGAGAGAGAGAGAGAGAGAGAGACAGAGAGAGAGAGAGAGAGAGAGAGACAGAGAGAGACAGAGAGAGAGAGAGACAGAGAGAGACAGACAGAGAGAGAGACAGAGGGAGAGAGACAGAGAGATAGAGAGAGAGAGAGAGAGAGAGAGAGAGAGAGAGAGAGAGAGAGAGAGAGAGAGACAGAGAGAGAGACAGAGAGAGAAGAGAGAGAGAGAGAGAGAGAGGGAGAGAGACAGAGAGAGAGAGAGAGAGAGAGAGAGAGAGAGAGAGAGAGGGAGATTTAAAAAGAGATAAATGTTAACATGAGTTTATTTAATTCTTTTAAAAATAAAACACTTCATAATTGTTAAAAAGCGACGCTATTTGCAGACTAATAAATCTTTGTCAAGGTGTAAATAAAGTTCATTGAAATTCAAACAGGTTTGGTTGTAGCATACACAGGAGCAGCATGGTCAGCTCAGAGACTGTTAAACTGTCTATCGTTTGTTTTTGTTAAAATTATTGGTAGTTACAAATCATTCAGTCCAATCAGAAAGGTGGAGGGGATGCAGAGTAGTAAACACACAAACCCAAAACAAAACAGACCAAAACAAAAAAGTGACACACACATCACCAATGACATAACCATGATTTACTTTACAATGACATAACCATGATTTACTTTACAATGACATAACCATGATTTACTTTACAATGACATAACCATGATTTACTTTACAATGACATAACCATGATTTACTTTACAATGACATAACCATGATTTACTTTTTGCAACCAAAATAATGTTTACATACATCCCCTTTTCATTATATATTTTATTAAATTAAGATATCACCACATTTTCCCTTGCCAACCTGTATCTAAACATCCTCCATCACGCGTTGCCATGGAAACCATCTGTCAAGGAATTTTGTATTTTGCAGTCTTATTTTGAAAGTTATCTTTTCCACAAATGCTAATTCATGTTAATGTTATAAGCTAGTTTAAAGCTCACATAGACTCTGTATGAGGAATAATTGAGCTTGTGGATAAATGATTGAGACTGATAGATATATTAATGCATATAGTGGAACAGGAAGTACTCTTTGGACCCGTTGGAAGTGTAGACGTCTCCCCAATCAGCTATCACTGTGACTGTGACCATTGCCCTGCTTTCTGCAGGCACAGTGTGTAAATTTCACCACCACTCTCCGAGTTGACCGTAGTCATGACGACCGGGTGAAACCGACCTGAGTGAGAGAATATGTTTACAGACGAGCTGATGTATCGGAGTATAATTTACATGACGTTTTTATCACAGCAGCTCAAACAGCGACAGAACGGCAGCTTTCAGCAGCAGCTCGCGCTTCCTCATGCAGCGGTCTTTGACGTAATGTACGGTGTTTCCACGGCAACGATAAACATGCCATGTCTGTCATGGCGGCAACCTGGTAAGACATTCTCTGGCTTTGATTACTGTTGGAAATATTTGAGGTAATGTGAGTAATCAACAAAAAATGCAATGTAGATTTAGTCCCTTTTTAATTAATTTAGATATTTTAATGCAAACATTCAACATATTAACTCAACTTCAACTTTATTTGTCCCCGAAGGGCGATTGGTTTGATGTGCATCAGTTTTGGTTCCTTCATTCAAACTTTTAATAATTCAGAATTAAAAATAAGTTCACAATTCTTTTCTCTCTGTAAACAAGTGTTAACAGAAGACAAACATAAAACCACTCAAGTTAAGTGGATTTTTCTTCTGCTATTTCTTTGCTCGTGGTTGTTCCTCGGCATGCTTGGTAATCAGCATATTTTCTGACGACCAACACTTCCCCCCGAGGCCGTCCGCTGGTTTCTGTTCCTGCTAACTGACACGCCAGAACAGGAAAACATTTTCTCTACAAATGAGTTCGTCTGATTCTCGTTAAGCTGAAGACCGTCTAACCCTAACCCTAGCTATATTCAACAAACAAACTTTGACTGTCACTGTGGTGTTGACACACTGAACAGTTTAGAACAGAAACCGACCGTCAACATCCAGAACATAAGACGCTCTTTTAATACTTTTTTTTCATCTCATAAGTTACCAGTATAACATGATGAGAGAAGCGCCATCATTACGGCTAAATTCCACCAGATGCATGTTCGGTCTGACTCTGCACCATTATGGCAGCAGAGCTGATAGTTTTTCACTTCACTCAGTGTGTGTGCGTCCTCTGGCTCCGCTGCGCTGCATCTGAGCCCCGTCAGTCTAGAGTCCTCTGCAGCAGATACACAAGGCCTCTAATACGGCCAGATGCCGGAGCAGGGCGCATCAATTTACCACAGAGCAGATCGAGCGGGACGGGAAGTCAGACACAGAAACTACATAAAAACATCGGGTTTATTTTCAGAATAAAGTGCTCTGTTTTGACGGTTTGGGTTTTATACCACACACATAGTATTATCTGGCGCGAGTAAATCTGTAGTTACCGCGGGAACTCCTTTGTCATGTGACTCCAGCTGTCAGGCTCTGAGCATGCAGCCTGTGGGTGCTGATGGACGACGGAGCACGGAGTCGCAATGGAGCTGTCATGCATTGCACATGTATCTGGTGCAAGTTCTAGATTCAGTTGACCATATAACCTCAGAATCGAGATTTGAGTGTAAACATAGTTATTGATCCACAGATCGGTGGCCTGCACCGATCACAAAGGTGGTAGGTAAAGTCAGCAGCGTTAGCCTCATCGTAGTAGGTTGTAAGTGTTAAAAACTTCCAGCCTGTACCCACCGTTTGTGTTCCCTTGTTTTAATTTGGCTTTGTGTGTCTGCTTTGTGTGTCTGGTCTGTGGGCCACTGAAAATAGACACTTGCAGTTTGTGCAAAACGCAGCATACTCATTGGCTGGTACTTTTGGAAGGAAGCTGTAACTCTCCTGGAGCTCTTTGGAAAACGCTGACTTCCTGTTCAGCATGACAGCTCGCCTACCTGACCTAACGCAGCAGGACCTGTTAGCATGATATGCTAGGCCATATAAGCAACAGTCACAACCATGACATTGATTGACACATGTACAGACGAGTCAGTGTTGACCTTTGACAAGTGGTGCATCAGTGATGTTTCTCTATTGGTTAAAACAGCAGCAGCCTTGGTAACGATGTTGATTGACATATTTACAGACAAATCAGTGTTGTTAGCAAGGTGTATTGTTTTAGTTGGTTAAAACCAGGACACATTACTGTTTATAGATATTAAAGAAAAATTAAAAGATATAAAGAAAATTGGTCCCAGTTAAATCAGGATGTATGGTCGACCTAGCCATCATGACCACAAGCAGCTGCCTCTACCAGCTGCTGCACGCCACCTGACGCTTTTCAAAACATGCAGGAATGTGATGCTGAGATGTAAAGAACTTACGATCTGTTTGAGGATGGTGCTGCCGACACTCGGCATGCCGATGGTCAGAGGAAGCTTGTATCCGAATCCTCGACCGAACTCGACCATCTGTAGCTGGGTGGCATCACGCGCTCCCTCCAGAGCTACCACCAGCAGAGCGCTGACACCTGCAGAATAAATACAACAGAAGAAGAAAAGAGCCATGATTGTGTACTAGCTGAAAATAACTTTTTTTCCAACATTTTCGCAATTTTATTTTAACGCACAGCAGAGGTTTAAATATCAGCCCTGTTTGATTCAATAAACCTTCATGTCAGTTTTATTACCCGACTTTCTCAGCTGCTCGGACTCATACTCCAGTTTCATCACGTCTTCATCGAGTCCGTCCGAGAAAATCACCACAACCTGTGGAGGAGGGAAATCATAATTGAACCAAATTATACTTTGAAGTCTGTCACTTGTGAATGACATTTTCTGTCTGCAAAATATTCTGATTATCACTTGGAGGTCACATGATGCAAAATCCGCTTCACCATTTTTCTCTAACTCTAATACGTGTCCCTAATGTGTGCTCAAACAGACCGTTTGTAGATTTTCCCTTCATGACATCACAAAGGGCAGTAGCCCCTCCCCCAGGTGGGTGACACTCCCACAGCTAGGTGTTTGTTCTGCCCTCTGAGTCTGCCTTCTCACCGTAAACAATAGGACATGGAGCGAGAAAGACAAAGTACACCCAAGCCCTTCCAGAGAGGGGGCGTGGTCAGACACAGCTCATTTACATATTTAAAGCTACAGACACAGAAACAGTCTGTTCTGAGCAGGGCTGAAATAGAGGGGTTTATAGACATGATCAAATACAGGATCAGAGTGGATTTAGAACAAGAAACTTCACACACATGTTTTGAGGAGTTCTGAGACTTATTTACACTGAAGAGGAGGAGGAGTAACTGGTGGAGTTATGAAGAGAGTGAGAATGCTGTGTCCTCCTAAACCCAAATTTAGAGGGAAAAAACTTATTTGGACCTGGTTTGATTCTGTAGGAAAACACTCACTACACAAACGTGTCTTTATCTGGATTTCAACACAACAGAGAATATCTGGGCTGTATGACTTCCATGATTTGTCTTGGACTCACCTTCACTCCAGCTCCAGACTCTGTTTTCATCTTCTCCCCGAATGATCTCAGCATGGCAGAGGTGAAGTATGTCGGCTCCAGAGCCAGAGCTTTGACTTTGTCCACCACGTTTTCGCTGTAGGGCTCGACGTTTGTGCTGTACAGGGTTTGCCCGACTCGATTCGCCAAGTGGTAGGCAATGTTGGTCCTTACGGGAGCGGGGCCGACGCAGCACAGGCCGGGCACGGAGGAAACATAGTGGGCTATGTCAGTCAGGAAGCTCTGCAGCTTTGTGTGTCCGCTGAACAGCAGCTCACCTGGAGCACGGTCTGTTTTGGAGATGTCAAACCCCATCACTATGTCGATGCTGCAGCCTGTAGTAAAGAGAAACGTGCTTTGTCACAACAAATATTAACCACACAAAGCAATTTTAAACAGAACAGAACAGTCACAACTTAGGGAAACAGCAGTGCTGTAAGAAGGTAAGCGCCAAAGAGAAGCTCTCTGATAATGAGGTCCTGAGTGATGCCAGCGTGAACAAAGCCATTACTGGACAGTGAGCCTGAAGGCAACAGAACTCTTTACTCACTGGATTGTTCTTTGGGAGGTTTGGATTTGCAGATTGTGCTCACGACCTTTTTCTTGATGTTCTCCAAGCTGCCAAAGTTCTGCACGGTGAACAGCCTCTCAGGTGTGCCGGTGATCTGCAGGAGCTCCAGATCGTGGACGTTTCCGATGCCGATGGCAAACACCTCGATCCCCAGATCCCTGAGACGGTTGGCCGCGTCCTCCACGTCGTCCTGAGATTCACCGTCTGTGATCAGCACCAGATTCTGGGATATCCCTTCCGATCTGCGGCTCCCACGAGAAGCCTCAAAGTACTCCCTGATGGCGTCCAGAGCTTTGCCAATGTTGGTGCCTCCGCCGGACTGAATCATCTTCTGGATGTGTTTACTCGCAGTCTCCAAAGTGTTCCACTGGTTCAGGTAAAACTCGTCCTTAAACTCACTGCTGAACTGAGCACATCCCACACGCACCAAATCATCGCTGATTTTGAAGCTGCTGATCACCTCTGTGGTGAAGTTCTTCATGATGGTGTAGTCCTGTTGTTGGATGCTGCCGGAGTAATCGATGAGGAAAACCAGGTCAGCCCTCTGTTTTTCACACACATTGGTGACGTCGCAGAGCTCCTGAGTGATGTTCTTGTACAGACCCTCCAGGGCGTCAAAGTTCTCCACGTGGAAGACTTTGGACTTGTCGTGCCCGGCCATGATCTCCAGCTGCGTCCTGTTGGCTCCTTCCACGCCGATACTGATCACGTTGATCTTGTTGTTTTTCAGCGCCACGGATGGAGCAACTAAATTGTTACGGTCCGTTGCATCCCCATCTGTGATCACCAACAGAATCTGCGGCACATTGAGATCAGCCCGACCGCCGTGTTCAGCTTTAAAATAGTCCAGAGCGTACCCCAGAGCCTTGCCGGTGTACGTGTCTCCATACGGGTTTTTGAGCTGTGAGATGGCTTTGAGAATGTCTCGTTTGGTTTCGTACTCCTTCAGGGTGAAGTTAGACTTTGGGTTGGTGGAGTAGAGGATGACTCCAAAGCGAGTCAGGTTTTTGCCCACTGTGGTCTGTTTCACCATGGACTCCATGAACTTCTGCATGCTTCGAAACTTGATCAGGTCGATGCTGGTGGAGCCGTCCACCAGGAAGATGATGTCCGCCCTCTCCGTCTTCTTACAATCTGGTCGGAAATAAAAAAGAACATGAAAGAAATGGGATCAGAGGGAAATATCGAAGAAATGATTGAGAACAAATCTGGTTAAATGACTAATAAACGTCCATATTCATTTCATATTATTTCAGGAAATAGAACATTGTCGGTGTATTTAAATCCATTCTGTTATTGTTAGTTTTTTTTAATTCACTCTGCAGTATATAGACTATAGACATAATGCCAAAATGCCAAATTCACTTCTCCATGTTTCTCTAACATTAATATGTGTCTCTGGTCTACAAAACCCCCAATGATGAGAAAAGTCCATCCTCTCCATCTTCTGCCTGCTCCACTTTTCAGAAAATGTGTGCTCAAACAGGCCGTTTGGAGATTTTCCCTTCATGACATCACAAAGGGCAGTAGCCCCTCCCCCAGGTGGGTGACACTCCCACAGCTAGGTGTTTGTTCTGCCCTCTGAGTCTGCCTTCTCACCGTAAACAATAGGACTTGGAGCGAGAAAGACAAAGTACACCCAAGCCCTTCCAGAGAGGGGGCGTGGTCAGAAACAGCTCATTTACATATTTAAAGGTACAGACACAGAAACAGCCTGTTCTTAACAGGGCTGAAATAGAGGGGTTTATAGGCATAATCAAATACAGGATCAGAGTGGAGTGGCAAAATGTATACACCCTTTGGCATCATAATTAAAAACCTTTAAATGTCTGCATCTGGATCAGAGTAATGTCATCTAGTTTTTCTTTGAACAACCAGAATAATAGTGACCTTAAACATTTCAAACAACCAGGCCCTCAGTGTCAGCTGTTTTTTTTTCTGCACTCACAGAGCTCTCAGTTGAAAAAACGCCACACTCATTAATGTCACTTTTCCCTTTTAAACCAATGAAAACCAAGAAGGGGGCAGATTTCTGATATGTACTTTGTCAGCATCAGTGGCGGAGGAGAAACAAATCTGACACTCATTGTCGGGTCTAGAGCTGCAGCTGATGCCAGGACATGATTCTTTACTTTGTTTTTACTTTTTCTTGGTTATTGTGGTGACTGACTGATAACTTTAAATCGACTTGTTGTGTCTGTACTTGGATTACAGCATGCATCAAAGAGTTAAAGTCTCAGTCCGCTCTCACCTCTGTCCGGCTCACACAGCTCCAGAGCCACCTCACTCTCCAGGTCCTTCAGGGCGTCAAAGTCCCTCTCGGAGTACATCCTGTCTGGTGTCCCGCTGATCTCCAGCAGCTGGGTGGTGTTGGCGTTCACCACTCCGATGGCGTAGACCAGCACTCCATTAGCCCTCAGACTGGCGGCAGGGCCTTCCACCTCATCCTGAGCCTCGCCGTCTGTGATCACCACCAGCCTCTGCTTCAGGTTGGGCCGCCCTCCTCGAGCTACGTCAAAGTACTGCGACACTGCAGTGATAGCTTCACCTGTGAGCGTGCCCCCACCAAACTGGATCATGTCACCGATGGCTTGCAACATCTCATCCTGGGAGTAGAAGGAGTTGAGGGGGAACTCCATCGTTTGTCGGTCGCTGAACTGCATGACACCCACATGCACGTCGTTCTGCCCAATGATGGACTTACCGATGACAGATTTCATGAAGTCTTTCATTTTCTGGTAGTCGTCGTATTCAATGCTCCCAGAGCTGTCAATCAAGAAGATGAGGTCGCCAGGTTGGTCTTTGCAAGCTGTGAACAGAGCAGCGCAGACATGTTAGTGTGTGTGAGTGTGTGGCAGCATCTTTTATTTTAAACTGATGAGCCAATCAGAGGGACGTATGCTACTCTGATGTAGCTTGCTATGATGCATTGACACATAAGTTCTACATAAAAGTTCTTCATCTTCATACTGAAGATTCTGGATCTTCAGTATGTGAACTGTACTGGCTCTTGGTGGATTTGTAGTCCGAGTTGCACTGAGCAAATACGAATCAGCAGGTTTTTGATGTATGCAGGAAATAAGGTCTGTGTGGACAACAACAAACAGGTAGATCTACTTTCACCTACTACCTTGTGAAAAATGTGTTTCTTTTTCGGGCTCATACTGCTGAAGTGAGCAAGAGTGAAGCTGCTGAATAAGTTGTAGTTTACTGCTGAGGGGGCTAAACAGACAAAGGGGCGCTCCAATGAAATGCTATCGACCTAGAAGCACGCTAAAGAAAGTCATACCAAGAAGTCACAATTCACTTAGTAGACGCTTTTATCGAAAGCGACGTACATCAGAGAGTAAGTACAACACCACTAAACGCTGACCGAGAAATACTGACAAATATTCCCAGAGGCATTTATCATCTATCAGAAACTGATAGACCAACGTCGCACAGTAACGCGGGTCAACTAACTGATCGAAGCAGCCATAAACCAGCAACTCCCGTGTACTGCAACGTTATGTTACAGTCTGGTGTCTGTTTTGAGTGATGTAACGGCTGTTTCTGATTTTTTAAATCATCTTCCTCCGTAACAAAAAGGTCTCTCTCTGTATGGATCCTCTCTCGAATGCTGTCAGACTCTTAAAATAACTATCTGAGCCTGTCAGGGACAAAGACAAAAAATTTGAGAGGAGACACTTTGATCAGACGGATTCGTCTACAGTAGAAAACATTGCAGACTTAGCAGCCTGTTTAATTGCTACTGACTGAAGCGATCTCTACTGGGATCGCTCCTCATAGTGTCGACCACAAACCACAAATAAATCCTGATCCTTTGAATATACACATGCAGTCAAAGATCTTTGTTTTGTAGAACTTGTTGCCTTCACCGCCTCGTCTATCATCTCTATCACACCTGCCTCACTGTCACCTGCAGACAGCGATACACACATTTTAAACTTTAGTGCAGTCTTCTTACCGCCCGGAGAACAGATGTCTGTGACGATGTTGTCCTTGATGGGTTTCAGAGCATCAAAGTTGTTGACAAAGAACATCCTTGCGGGGTCTCCGGAGATCTCTCTCAGCTCTTCTTGGTCTGCGTTTTTCACCCCGATGGCGTACACCTTGACCCCCTGTGCCCGCAGCTTTTCTGCAGGAATCTTGACCTCATCGGATGATTTACCATCAGTGATCACAATCAGGTACTCTGAGACTTTGTGACCTCGAGAGGCCTCTGCTCGTTCAAAGTATGGGCCCATGAAGTTCAGCGCTCTTCCTGTCTCAGTGCCGCCTCCTTTTTGTTGGATTTTCAACACGGCGTCCTCCAGGGCCTTGGTGTCCGAGTGTGCGGTCAGATCAAACTCTAAGTTTGGTGCGTCTGCGTATTTTGCGACCCCCATGCGAACGTGTTCGAGCCCGATACGGAAAGTGTGCAGAAACTCGATGATGAACTTCTTCATGTCACTGAAGTCGGTCGGGTAGATGCTCCCTGAGTGATCGATCAGGAAGAAGAAGTCCGCTTCATCCGTTTGTGAGCAGCCTGGAGAAGGGAAAAACATAACAGTGTGAATTATTTTCTAAAGACATCAACTTTACTCGACCTGAACACTGATTTATAAAACGTTATAGGCTGGGACACAGTCACTCTACTCTGTGCTAAATATTAAAGAGAGTTTGGTTCACACCTTCTTTGATGCCCTTTTGTCTTGTGTTGACTGAGACTGCTTGCTTGATGATGTTCACACACATGCTCTTCTGCAGGGTCTGCTCCAGCGTCTTCAGCTTCGTGAAGTCGTCCACCACAAACGTGTGCTTGTGTGTGGGATACGACGCCATCTGTTTCAGCTCGTCCTCGTTTGCACCTTTGACTCCAACTGCGTAAACGGTGATGCCCTCACGTCGTAATTCATATGCTGCCTTGCTAACGTTGTACTGGGATTCCCCATCAGTGATCACCACCGCCACCTGCTGGACGCCCCTGTCCTTCCTGCTTCCTTTCTCTTTGATGAAAACGCTCTTGCGGGCGTACTCTAAGGCATCTCTGGTGTTGGTACCTCCTCCGTGGTAAGGCAGGATCTTGATGAACTTGAGCAGATCGTTCTTGTCATTGAAGGTGTTGAGGTGAACAAGCGCTGAGGGTCTGTCGGCGAAACTCATGATGCCCACTCGGACTCTCTTCGGGCCGACGTCCAGGCCGCTCACGATGGAGTGAAGGAAAGCACGAACCAACTGGAAATTTGGCGTCCCGATGCTTCCAGACTCATCGATGATGAACACGATGTCGGCCAGTTTGGCTGCTTTGCAATCTGTAGGGAAGGGAGATATCAGTAAAGTCATTTTAGGCTTCCGTTAGATTAGCTAATTTTAAAAAAGGACTATCTGTTAGGGTTAGGGTTAGAGCAGAGCACACGTCTGTTAATCAGTCAATCCGTTAAAACGTTAATTATCTGCTTTCATTTAAACACTTTTATTCATGGACCCATCATGTTCTGGATCCCTCTCTCCTGACAGGTGTGCACTGAGGCTGAGTTGGTACATTTCGGGGGAAGAGGGTGCGCTATTAAAAAATGTTTAGGGTCCGATTGGATCTGAAAACAAACTTCTGGGTTCCCTCAGGGTTCCAGTCTAACTTTGGACCTTCAAAGAGGTCTAGTCTGAAGCAGCTCACATTTCTGAGACTGAATTTAACGGCAAAATTTGGAGTGACACTGACTCTGAATGAGGACGTTGATAGAAGTGATGATACAAAAAGTGTAAGTGAAAGGGTTTATTTACCTCCAGTAAGAACCGGCTCCTCTTCTTCTCTCTCAAAAATGGC